AATGTCAAAGTCAATGACAACACAGAAGACAATGTCCAACATAACAGGCCAATTACACTGGATTAATCTTTGTGTTTAGATAGGAGATGCCTCGTATGGGCCAATAAGCCTTCTGCAGCCCCTATGTTTATCCCTTATGTATCCCCCCATGTTTTTCACCTTCATTGTATTATCACCTGACCTAATGCGGGTATAAAATCAACTAGTATTGTAAGATCTGTTCACTTGAGAATGAACCATGGAGGTTCGAAACGTCGTGCAAATTATACAAATAAGTGTAATACACTCTATAGTAAATCACTTCTTTTCTTCACCTTAAAAGTACGAAAATGAGTTTTGGAGAACTCCTATTCCAATTAAGCCCTGATGCTAAGAAAATAGTTAGAGGGATAGAAGCCATAAACCAGAAAATAATAAATACAGAATATGCGGTCATATTCAATGAAACATGTTTGAAAGAAAACCTGCTGCCAGTATACACCAATATATATATATATATATATATATATAACGCTTGACTGCTGTAGAGGGTTCTCCGTCGGCTTCGGGCTGTTTTTGATAAGGAGTTCGGAAGTCTTCTTGGTTTTGTAGAATATTATCAGGTTTATGTTTTGGTTAGGAGTAGTGCTTTTTACTCCTTTACGGATTATTTCTTTCATTATTCTTTCCTCTTTTATATGTTCACTGTGCATGGTTGATTTGTAATATAATTTTATTGGGGGTGTTGTGGTTTCTGTTCTAGGTTCTGAATTATACCAACGGTCCAAGTGTCTTCTTATAGCAGCGTTTATTTCCGCGTTGCTATATCCGTTGTTCACCAATACCTGAGTTACTCTTTCAAACTCTCTACTCACGTTGCTCCATTCAGAGCAGTGGGTAAGCGCTCGACGAATATAAGCATTGAGAACACTGGCTTTGTATCTTTGGGGGCACTCACTTCTACCGTTCAGGCATAATCCTATGTTGGTGGGCTTGGTATATACGTTGGTGCTTAAAGAGGTTCCTGTTTTTGTTATTAGTACATCCAAGCATTTGAGCACCCCCAAATTAGACATACCTGAGCCACACTTGAAAAGTCTTCTCGAAGCATGTACAAAGGAAGCCCCTTTCTTCAGTCCACAAGGAGACATGTATTTACAAATAGACGGAGTAGCAATGGGCTCCCCCTTAGGAGTTTTATTTGCTAATTTTTATATGGGAACCATCGAAGATAGGGTCTTCAGTAGCAGACAAAAACCAACTGTATACTGCCGTTATGTAGATGACATATTCGTAATAGTAAAAGACTCAGATGAACTAATTGACCTAAAAAGACACCTAGAGAGAGTCAGTACTCCGATTTACACATGAAAATAGTGAAAATAACAGTCTGCCATTCTTGGATGTACTAATAACAAAAACAGGAACCTCTTTAAGCACCAACGTATATACCAAGCCCACCAACATAGGATTATGCCTGAACGGTAGAAGTGAGTGCCCCCAAAGATACAAAGCCAGTGTTCTCAATGCTTATATTCGTCGAGCGCTTACCCACTGCTCTGAATGGAGCAACGTGAGTAGAGAGTTTGAAAGAGTAACTCAGGTATTGGTGAACAACGGATATAGCAACGCGGAAATAAACGCTGCTATAAGAAGACACTTGGACCGTTGGTATAATTCAGAACCTAGAACAGAAACCACAACACCCCCAATACAATTATATTACAAATCAACCATGCACAGTGAACATATAAAAGAGGAAAGAATAATGAAAGAAATAATCCGTAAAGGAGTAAAAAGCACTACTCTTAACCAAAACATAAACCTGATAATATTCTACAAAACCAAGAAGACTTCCGAACTCCTTATCAAAAACAGCCCGAAGCCGACGGAGAACCCTCTACAGCAGTCAAGCGTTGTATACATGTACACTTGCCCCCACGAAGGATGTAACCTTCAATGTAAGTACATAGGTATGACGTCGACCAAGCTGACGAGGCGTTTGACATGCCATCTTCAATCTGGTATATATAAATATTTGATTTGTTTTTTTGTATTGAGGCTGGTATTTTGTACCTTGATTCCATGTATGTCTAACCATCCTGTGAGATGGGAGTATTAGATAAACTTATAGCTAGTTTTTTATCTACACTGTGTAATATTCCATATAGAATAGGGTAGCAGCACATTGCTGTGTATACCTAATCTTCTTAATATAAAAAATCAGTAATAAGGATGTTAAATTATAGTTTGTATTATTACAAGTACTCTATTATCCTTATTAAATCACGTTAACCATGGATCATAAAAATCCCATGTTGATATGTAATAGTCATATTTCTTTTGAACTGTTACTCCATGCTAATAATTTTTTAATCATTCATTAAATTGTGCATTGTCTCAATTTTTCACTTCCTTGGATATACTGTAGAGTACAAAAAGATAGGATAAAAATAAACCAGTAATATTTCTTTCAATATATTTTTTATTTAAATAACTGTAACAATATTTTTACAACTGACAGGATTTGTTTTACCATACAAGTGCATTATTTGTTAAAAAAAATTGGTTTATTGTTACACACAATGGTGCTACATAGCCTTCCCAGCTTGGTGCCTTCTTGTAATACTTGCTTACGGATTAATAAATAGATAATAATAAATAAATTTTATTCAGGAAAAGTACATACAGTTGATTTACAAACATAATGTTGGATTTATAGACAGAGCTAGTACATACAATACCTAAAGCCACTAATACTCATAGCATTTCGGGCAAGGTGTGGGGGAAAAACACTTAGACTAAAACCTAATAGTAATCGGGATTAGGTATAAATTGTGTTGAAAGAAGGAATAAAAAAAGGGAGGTAACATAGCAGAAATCAGCATTTGTACACGTTGGTGAACAAACAGCGTTGTTTAAAAAAAAACAAGACATGGGTTGACATTTAGGTTACATGGAGTTAATTAGGCAGTACTTGGTTTTACTCTTAAACTGGTTGAGAGAGGTACAGCCTTTGACATGATTCGGGAGGCCATTCCATATTCTGGGTCCCTTGATTTATAGAGCACTTCTAGTTTGGTTACACACAGCCAAATTGTGTAACAGGAAGAGGTCTTGGACACAAATATGTTTATACTAAATGTAGAGGAATCAGCTGAGAATTCCTGAAATAAAATAAGTTGCCTCAGCTTATAAGGTAAATAAAATAAGCATTTCTCAAATAAGTAGCTGCCTCACCTCACTGCCTTACTGCTACATAGCCTTCCCGGCATGGTGCCTTCTTTTGATAATTATTTGTTCCACGCCCAAATTGTATAACAGGAAGAGGTCTTGAACCCCTACTTCCCTCTCTCTTTTTTAATAGTCCATATAGTCATAATTATAGCTTTCAGTATTCAATGAATAAAGTTTTTGACATTTTTACCCTTCTCCTTACCTAACATCATTTGTGCAGCATATTTTTATTTTATGTCTCACCCAGATTTAATTTCAAAATAAAACCAAACTAAATAAATTAGAAATGGGTATGTATAGCTAAGATACACCCTTACTACTAGGTGAACAGGAGCATTTGGTGATAGTAAATGATCCCATCAGGCAGGGCTCATCACCTTCTCTCATATATCATGTTCACCAGTGTTTATTTACTTAATAACTACGGGTATAATATCTTGCTATTATAAAAATAATTCTACTATCATAAAAGACATATTTACTTTGGATTTCAAGCAGAGAATGCATAAATAACTAACACGAAGGAATCCTCTTCACGAGATTCACCAGCTATAATATTTTGTTCATGTTCCAAAATCTTAAAATCGATCCCAGTGTTAGGTAGTACAGAAAAATTGAGTTATATCCAGTTTACGTAAAGCTACGAGTGGTCGACATCACACTTAGATCCCGGACCAAACTTACAAAGGTTTTTCGATTTAGTGTATCTACCTGAATACCGACGTAGCCGCCACGAAGGCGCTAAGAAGGAAAACATTCGGTACTAAGAAGAAAAACCTTCGTAAATACTTTCGTGAATCCGGCCCCTGGAGACGAGCAATTACTCGCTGGGGTAACGAAAACACATGGCCCCATAGAGCGACCCCCCCATTTGTAACGACAACACATGGCTCCATAGAGCGACCCTCCCCCCCTCCCCGCCATTTGTAACAAAAACACATGGCCCCATAGAGCAACCCCCGCCCCCCCCCCCGCTATTTGTAACAAAAGCACATGGCCCCATAGAGAGACCCCCCCCATTTGTAACAAAAACACATGGCCCCATAGCGCGACCATCGAAAAAAAAATGGTCGCTGTATGGGGCTATTTCCATTACTCTGTTGCACGTAGGAGCAACACACACTATACTAAATATGTTAGGATTCCCTTTCAATGTTTCTGATTTCATTGATAAATTGAATTTTCATAGATTTCGTTTTATTTTCATTTTCATTTAATTATTTTGTGTGACATTGTGTTGGAATTGAGCTGTGTTGTTTACCATCCCATTCATTTTGTGAGTATAGTTTATATTTCGATTTTTTTCATTTTTTCATTTCGCTTTTTAACAGTTTTTCTTATATTTCAGTGATGGGAACATCAGATCATTTGATGTTCCAAATTTTCTGATGGAAACATCAGATCGTTTGGGAATGCATTGGACGAGAGAGTGAGGAATGATGGGGAGGACGAGGGGACGGTGGAGTGGGGAATGGTTAGCAGGATGAGAGGAGGCTGGAATGGGGGATGGTGGGGAGGACGAAGGGACGGGGGAGTGGGGAATGGTTTGGAGTAAATGGGGAAGGGGGAGAGGGGAATGGTGGGGAGGACGAGGGGGCAGGGGAGGGTTGCTGTGGCCGGGTACAGCTATTAAAACAATAAATATTTTACTATGAACACAAATATTTAATATCAATTCACTATCACACCCCACATTTATTTGATTTTTCATATTTCTTGAAGTACAACAAATTATAGCCTCAAATGTATGGATAGAGTATGTAGTAACTGTCAAAATATTCCAGGTTTGACATGTTTTCCGATAACAAGAGTTATTCAAAAATCTTTGGAAAAAATGTGCGGTCTGTTGAGGTGTTTAGCCAAATGTGTCCAGGGAAAAAGATGGAAGACGGAGTGTTTCTCCAGCTGAGCGAGGCTCTACCTGCTCCTCGAGTGATCAAGACGCACCTGCCTTTCTCCCTCTTGCCTCCTGATCTTCTTCACACAGCTAAGGTCACTTTACTTCACAACAACTGTATATTGTACTGATCCCTATGGTGTGTATGTGAGTAATATCTGCCAGAGAGTTGAGAACCAGTGTTGGCAGGGTGGAAGTATGGCTGGAGCTGTCAGAGAGATGATAGACTGCCAACCTGCTCACACTGGCTCTCATCTCTCTGACAGCTCCAGCCATACTTCCACCCTACCAACACTGGCTCTCATTTCTCTGACAGCACCAGCACCATCCATGCTTCCGCCCTACCAACACTGGTTCTCATTATGTTTTTTTTTTAATTCTCTGATTTTTAATCCAAACTCCGTTATCTCTTTGCTAGTGTAGTTTGTAAAAACCACACAATTAGATTAATAAGTTTATATACACCTATTGTTGTTTGTCCAGTCTGTAAAGTATACCAATAATTTACCAGGGACGTTACTTTAAAAGGTATGAGAGAGAGGAATTAAATGATGATATGACACTACTAAACCTTTTAATATGATTCAATTACTTAATTGCTTATAAATATTAAATGAAATATAAGTCTATTATAATTAAATTATGAAAGGAATCAATAATGTTTGACATAGTTGATTTTTGTTGACGTACTATATTGTATCATCATTATTTTGATAAAAGTAATATTTAGTTTTAGGCGCAGAGTCAGCCGCGTCCACCATATCTCAGGAGAACCAACATTTGTATTAATTACATCTTTTCCCCTGGTCAGCTGGGCACTCGTTCTTTGCTGAAATGTATGTTCAATCAAAGTTGTTAAATGACACCAAATAAATTATCAGCAAATTGCCTAGTTTACTGAAACCATCAATAATTATACCTAATAATTTCTTAACAAATTGTATTAAATTATGTCCATTCCAAAATTAGCAAGTCTTGAAAATTAAGGTACATGTGTTTGTGGTTAAATCCCCCGATTTAACTGTGGCTCCTAGATGGTTAATCACTCCCTCTCCTAGGGAACAAACGGTTAATTACTTGTGAGCAGTTTACTAATTTGGCACCAAACAATCAACTAAAAGTCATAACCGCTTTGTTCACTGGAGAGGAAGATGGTTGGCCAGTGTCTGATAATGGTCGACCCGTTGATCTTACACGGGAGGTGTACAAGTATTTGGACTTGATGAACCAAAGGGAAGCTTGGCGTCTGAAGGCGTTCTGGAGATCCTCATATATCGTCCAAAGGCTCTATTACAGTCTCTCAGCTTGAAGCTTATGCTTTTCACAAAAAATCACAATTGCGTGATGCATCAAATGAACAAATCCAGAAGGGCCGTGACGAGGATTCGAATCTGCGTCCGAGAGCATCCCAGACGCTGCCTTAATCGACAGAGCTACGACATGGTCAAAAGGAGTTGAAACCGAAGTTCTACTGACCTTACAGGATCCTGCAGCCTCTCCGAGGCACAAACCAGGGTTTTACACAACTCCTCCCATGCACTCGAGCTATGTCAATAATCCGTTCTCCCTCTTCGCTCTTACTTCATTACACACAGAAATCCTGGTTTGTGCCTCGGAGAGGCTGCAGGCTATGTGGTGATCATGTCTCCCCGAGCTCTTGTGTCTTCCAGCGACGTGAGGTGCAGTTCACTCAGCCTGTCCTCGTAACTCATGCCTCGTAGTTCTGGGACTTAGTGGCATACCTCTGAACTTTTTCCAGCTTCGTCATATGCTTGTCAAGGTACGGGCTCCGTGCTGGGGCCGCATACTCTAGGATTGGCGTTACATACGTTGTTTACAAGGTTCTGAAAGATTCGTTACACAGGTTTCTTAAGGCAGTTCTGATGTTAGCCAGCCTCGCATACGCCGCTGATGTTATTCTTTTAATGTGGGCTTCAGGAGAGAGGTTTGGCATGATATCAACTCCTAGACCTTTCTCTCTGTCCGTTTCGTTAAGGACTTCATCTCTCATTCGGTATCCAGTGTCTGGCCTCCTATTTCCTCCACCTAGTTTCATTACCTAACAATAACATGGGTTGAACTTTAGTAGCCATATGTTGGACCATTCCTTCAGTTTGTTTAGGTCATCTTGTAGACTCATGCTACTTTCCTATGTCGTAAACCTCCTCATAATTTATGCATCATCAGCAAACATTGAGAGGAACGAGTCTATTTCCTTTGGGAGATCATTTACACATAACAGGAACAGTATAGGTTCTAGAACTGATCCCTGAGGGACTCCACCGGTGACGCCTCGCCACTCTGAAACCTCACCCCTCACGGTGACTCGCTGTCTTCTGTCGCCTAGGTACTCCCTTATCCATTGGAGTACCTTCTCATTCACTCGTGCCTGCATATCCAGTTTGTGCACAAGACTCTTATGTGGTACTGAGTCAAAGGCTTTCTGGCAATCCAAAAATATGCAGTCTGCCCAGCACTGTCTTTCTTGCCTGATCAAAGAATTCAATTAATCAAGTGAGGCATGATTTATCATCCCTGAACCCATGTTGATGTTGTGATACAAAGTTCGTCCGCTCCTGATGTTCTACTAGCTTTTTTCGCACGACCTTCTCCATCACTTTGCATAGTATGAAAGTTAGAGACACTGACCTGTAGTTCAGTGCTTCCTGTCTATCACCCTTCTTGAATATCAGGACTACATAAGCCATCTTCCAAATTTTTGGCAGTTCATCTGTTACCAGTGATTTGTTATACACCATGGAGAGTGGCAGGCACAGAGCGTCTGCTCCTTCCTTCAGTATCCATGGTGAGATTCCATCCGGGCCTATAGCCTTTGTCACTTCCAACTCTAGCAGATGCTTCCTCACCTCCCCACTGGTAAACACTAACTCATCTAGTGGAGTTTGGTTAGATATTACCTCTCTCATCTCTGTGACTTCCTTTTGCTCTACTGTGAAGACCTCCTGAATTTTCTTATTGATTTCCTTGCACACGTCCTTGTTGTTCGTTATACATTTGTCTGTCCCAATCCTCAGTTTCATACCTGTTCCTTCACTGTTGTTTTTCTCCAGATGTGGCTGTGCAGCAATGTAGGTTGAGTTTTTGCCTTCCTTGTTATGTCATTTTCATATTGTCTTTCTGCCTCTTTTCTCCCCCTGATGTATTCATTCCTAATGTATTCATTTCTAGTATCTTTCTCTGCTCACTAGTGTCCTGTTATTTTTAGAAATTTTCCACGCCCTTGTACTTAGTTGTATTACAAGCTTAATTATCTCATTAAACCATGGGGTTTCTCGCCTCCTTACACTTTTGTGTGATGTAGTCCATCATTTCTAGGGCCGTCTTTCCTCTGAGCACGGTTTCCCAAGTTATATCTGTTAGGAATTTTCTAATCTCCTCATAATTTCCCTTTCGGAATTCCAGCCTTTCGTTTTCTGGGCCCTTTTCTTAAGTACAATAACTCTACTTAGCAAGGATGCCAGCTGTGGCAGACCGTGTTGAAGCATGGATGCCAGCTGTGCCAGACCGTGTTGAAGCATGGATGCCAGCTGTGCCAGACCGTGTTGAAGCATGGATGCCAGCTGTGCCAGATCATGTTGAAGCAAGGATGCCAGCTGTGCCAGACCGTGTTGAAGCAAGGATGCCAGCTGTGCCAGACCGTGTTGAAGCATGGATGCCAGCTGTGCCAGATCATGTTGAAGCAAGGATGCCAGCTGTGCCAGATCATGTTGAAGCATGGATGCCAGCTGTGCCAGATCATGTTGAAGCAAGGATGCCAGCTGTGCCAGACCGTGTTGAAGCAAGGATGCCAGCTGTGCCCGACCGTGTTGAAGCAAGGATGCCAGCTGTGCCAGACCGTGTTGAAGCATGGATGCCAGCTGTGCCAGATCATGTTGAAGCAAGGATGCCAGCTGTGCCAGACCGTGTTGAAGCACGGATGCCAGCTGTGCCAGATTGTGTTGAAGCATGTATGCCAGCTGTGCCAGACCGTGTTGAAGCAAGGATGCCAGCTGTGCCAGATCGTGTTGAAGCAAGGATGCCAGCTGTGCCAGACCGTGTTGAAGCTTGGATGCCAGCTATGCCCGACCGTGTTGAAGCTTGGATGCCAGCTGTGCCAGACCGTGTTGAAGCACGGATGCCAGCTGTGCCAGACTGTGTTGAAGCATGGATGCCAGCTGTGGCAGACCGTGTTGAAGCAAGGATGCCAGCTGTGCCAGACTGTGTTGAAGCAAGGATGCCAGCTGTGCCAGACTGTGTTGAAGCAAGGATGCCAGCTGTGGCAGACCGTGTTGAAGCATGGATGCCAGCTGTGCCAGACCGTGTTGAAGCTTGGATGCCAGCTATGCCAGACCGTGTTGAAGCATGGATGCCAGCTGTGCCAGACCGTGTTGAAGCAAGGATGCCAGCTGTGCCAGACCGTGTTGAAGCAAGGATGCCAGCTGTGCCAGACCGTGTTGAAGCTTGGATGCCAGCTGTGCCAGACCGTGTTGAAGCAAGGATGCCAGCTGTGCCAGACCGTGTTGAAGCATGTATGCCAGCTGTGCCAGACCGTGTTGAAGCATGGATGCCAGCTGTGCCAGACCGTGTTGTAGCAAGGATGCCAGCTGTGCCAGACTGTGTTGAAGCAAGGATGCCAGCTGTGGCAGACCGTGTTGAAGCATGGATGCCAGCTGTGCCAGACCGTGTTGAAGCATGGATGCCAGCTGTGCCAGACCGTGTTGAAGCATGTATGCCAGCTGTGCCAGACCGTGTTGAAGCAAGGATGCCAGCTGTGCCAGACCGTGTTGAAGCAAGGATGCCAGCTGTGGCAGACCGTGTTGAAGCAAGGATGCCAGCTGTGCCAGACCGTGTTGAAGCAAGGATGCCAGCTGTGCCAGACCGTGTTGAAGCTTGGATGCCAGCTGTGCCAGACCGTGTTGAAGCAAGGATGCCAGCTGTGCCAGGCCAAAACGAAATACGGCCATCCTTCCCCTCGAGCCTCGGGGTCAGGTATTTATACAGTATGGTTTGCAAATTAATTCTAAATTTAAAATCTTCTTGAAACTATACAATAAGATAATATATACGGTTTATATTCCTCAGAGTAAAATCATAGATTTTGGACCATAATTTGCGACACATCTTTCTTGAGAAGCGTTGTTAGGGGTGGTTACTATGGGCAGCGCTTAAGGCGAGTTCTGGTTCTGTCACAGTCAAATATCTTATTAAGAGACAGTATAAGAAATACTTTCCACACTCATCTCTCTGACAGCTCCAGCAACACTTCCACCCTCCCAACACTGACTCTCATCTCTGACAATGCCACCTACTAACACTATTTTGCATATCTGCCTCTTCCACCCTTCCAACCCTGGCTCTTATCTTTCCGACAACTATTCCCATATATCCACCATTCCAACAGCTCTTATCATACTTTTATATCTCTAAGAGCGCCAGTCATACTTCCACCCTGCCAACACTGGTTCTCATCTATCTTACATCTCCAATAAAAATTTTATTTTCATCTGAGAGTCGTCTTATCTGTTGTCTTTGTCAAGAGAAGGAAGCCAATCTGTTGCTCAGGTTAATTCTGATTAACCTGAGCAACACTGGTTCTCATTTTCTTTTTGGTGGTTTGCTACCAAGTGTTCTGAACAATGTTCTCAGGTTCTGAGAACATTGTTCAGGTCAGGTTATTTACATGACATAACATGTTATGTAAACTGTATTTACTTTTCTTGGACATTTACACATTCTTTACTAGCAATACAAATTTTAAGTTCAAGGTAATTTCCCACCTACATAATAAATGTTCAACTTAATTATTGTTGGTGTTTCTCTGCAGGTTGTGTATATGGCCAGGAACCCTAAGGACGTGGTGGTGTCCTTGTTCCATCACTTCTGCAACTTACAGCTCCATGATTATACTGGCCCCTTCGACACTTTCATTAAGCACTTCATGAATGACGATCGTAAGTTGTGAAATAACATGTTTGCTGTGCTTTATTTGGGTATTTTCATTTGAATAGCAATAATATATCACTTATCTACATGGAAAATTACTGAGGTTGGAACACTCGCTTGAGTAATCAAAGCAACGGCAACTGCAGCTAAGGACAGCCTGAGGAATGAAGCCTTGTTCTTCTTTAAGCTTAGTTCTACTTGAGGGTATGGCGAGGGAGCCGGTCGGCCGAGCGGACAGCACGCTGAACTTGTAATCCTGTGGTCCTTGGGTTCGATCGCAGGCGCCGGCGAGAAACAATGGGCAGAGTTTCTTTCACTCTATGCCCCTGTTACCTAGTAGTAAAATAGGTACCTGGGAGTTAGTCAGCTGTCACGGGCTGCTTCCTGGGGGTGGAGGCCTGATCGAGGACCGGGCCGCGGGGACACTAAAAAGCCCCGAAATCATCTCAAGATAACCTCAAGATGGCTTGCAATTAGCACAATGATCATTAACTTTTAGTCGTCACTTGGATTTTGTCTCAAAAATCAACCTGGATGAGGGACTAATTATCCGACAGAATTTTAGCTTCTAGTTAGTTTTGGGTAAAGTCAGAGAGAAAAAAATGAAACTGAAAAAATGTGATGAAAAATTAAATTCGCGTTTATACACAGTCAAGATGTTCCAAAGGATTTGTAGGTTTATTTACACTAATCTATTTAGACGAATGGGTCAGATCCCAAAAATATTCGTCCAAAATAAAATAAATGTTGAAATATGTTAAACAAATCTCGCGTCATTTGGCATCAGCGTTGTGAAAATATCATCCCAATATGTAAAGAAATGGATTTTATATGATTTTTTGTGATAATATATCTGTGTGCTGCGATTACTAATGATAACGATAACATCTCCTATTTACTGGAGCTGAGGGATAATGTAGGGATAAAAAGGTGCAAGCACGTTTCGGGCGCACATTATATATATATATATATATATATATATATATATATATATATATATATATATATATATATATATATATATATATATATATATATATATTATTAAATATGACCGAAAAAGTAAGATTAATAATTCTAACACGAATTTTCTCAATCTTTCGTACATTTCTTTTCACTGTTGGAGGTAAATCAAAAATCAATTCTCCAAAATTCATTTTTATTTCTAGTCTGACGCGACACGAGCGCGTTTCGTAAAACTTATTACATTTTCAAAGACTTTAGTTTACAAATACACAACTGAATAGAACTTACGCATCTCCGATTTTATATCTACATTTGAGTGAGGTGGATGGGGTGAGGTGGCATTAATAGGGTATTAATTTCATCAACACAAGACAGAACAAGAGGTGGCATTAATAGGGTATTAATTTCATCAACACAAGACAGAACAAGAGGTGGCATTAATAGGGTATTAATTTCATCAACACAAGACAGAACACGAAACAATGGGTATTGAATAGAAGTGTTTGTAGAAAGCCTATTGGTCCATATTTCTTGATGCTTCTATATTGGAGCGGAGTCTTGAGGTGGGTAGAATATAGTTGTGCATTAATTGGCTGTTGATTGCTGGTGTTGACTTCTTGATGTGTAGTGCCTCGCAAACGTCAAGCCGCCTGCTATCGCTGTATCTATCGATGATTTCTGTGTTGTTTACTAGGATTTCTCTGGCGATGGTTTGGTTGTGGGAAGAGATTATATGTTCCTTAATGGAGCCCTGTTGCTTATGCATCGTTAAACGCCTAGAAAGAGATGTTGTTGTCTTGCCTATATACTGGTTTTTTTTGGAGCTTACAGTCCCCAAGAGGGCATTTGAAGGCATAGACGACGTTAGTCTCTTTTAAAGCGTTCTGTTTTGTGTCTGGAGAGTTTCTCATGAGTAGGCTGGCCGTTTTTCTGGTTTTATAGTAAATCGTCAGTTGTATCCTCTGATTTTTGTCTGTAGGGATAACGTTTCTATTAACAATATCTTTCAGGACCCTTTCCTCCGTTTTATGAGCTGTGGAAAAGAAGTTCCTGTAAAATAGTCTAATAGGGGGTATAGGTGTTGTGTTAGTTGTCTCTTCAGAGGTTGCATGGCGTTTCACTTTCCTTCTTATGATGTCTTCGACGAAACCATTGGAGAAGCCGTTGTTGACTAGGACCTGCCTTACCCTACAGAGTTCTTCGTCGACTTGCTTCCATTCTGAGCTGTGGCTGAGAGCACGGTCGACATATGCGTTAACAACACTCCTCTTGTACCTGTCTGGGCAGTCGCTGTTGGCATTTAGGCACATTCCTATGTTCGTTTCCTTAGTGTAGACTGCAGTGTGGAAACCTCCGCTCTTTTCCATGACTGTTACATCTAGAAAGGGCAGCTTCCCATCCTTTTCCATCTCGTAAGTGAAACGCAGCACGGAACTCTGCTCAAATGCCTCCTTCAGCTCCTGCAGATGTCTGACATCAGGTACCTGTGTAAAATGTCGTCAACATACCTGCAGTATATGGCCGGTTTCAAGTTCATGTCGACTAAGACTTTTTGCTCGATGGTACCCATGTAGAAGTTTGCAAACAGGACACCTAGGGGAGAACCCATGGCGACCCCATCTACTTGCTTATACATGTGCCCATCCGGGCTCAAGAAGGGTGCCTCTTTAGTACAAGCTTGGAGTAGTTTCCTCAGAATATTTTCTGGTATGTCAAGAGGAGTACAGGCTGGATCACGATACACTCTATCGGCTATCATCCCGATTGTCTCGTCCACAGGTACGTTGGTAAACAGCGATTCTACGTCCAACGAGGCTCTTATCCCTGTGGCCCGTGTGCCCCGCAGTAAGTCAACAAATTCCTTTGGAGACTTCAGGCTGAAGGCGCAAGGAACATAAGGAGTCAGCAGGCCGTTGAGTCGCTTCGCCAGTCTGTACGTGGGTGTGGGTATCTGGCTAATGATTGGCCGAAGTGGGTTTCCAGGCTTGTGTGTCTTGACATTTCCATACGCATATCCAGGTTTATATTCCCCAATGATCTTTGGCAGGTGGAGTCCGGATTTCTTGGCGTTCACAGTTTCGATCAGTTTGTTGACCTTTGCTTTTAATTCGGCTTTAGTGTCCTTCGTTACCCTTTGGAACTTAGTTTGGTCAGAGAGTATGATGTTCATTTTCGCCAGATATTCGTCTTTTTTAAGAATGACATATATTGGCGACTTGTCACCTCTCCTGACAACTATCTCCTTGTTCTCACGAAGGCTTTTAGCTGCCGCTTTGAGCTCGGGGGACAGTATGGTTCTTCGATTGCCTCGATTCTTTCCTCCTTCTGCAATAAGTTCTGCTTGTAAGGTATCTACAGGATACCTTACAAGCCTATCTATGTCTACAGGAAAGACTGCTACCAAAATATACTAATATTAAAACGCACGACCCAGCAGCAAGGAATCAAGCCTTCACGATAAAATATCGCCAGAATCTGATTCGTGATCAGATATACAAGGCAGAGAATGAAATCAAAGACAACAAAGCGCAACTACTTCATGCTACGAACGAGTGGAGAAATAGCAACATCGACGAAAGTATCCGTACCCGCATTGAACAACACCTCGACATCCTCACAGACCGACATCACCTCAGCACTGAAACAAGGATTATCAAGAAACTAACAACATTATATGGAGGACCTATGGCAATTCCACGACCAAGAGATGGCTTCCTGAACCTTGCAGGAATTAACCTCACTGAGGACCAAGTCACTCTCCTAAATCTGGGCATAAACTGTCATGTTATGTCCAGACCGAGTGAGATGGCCCGGAGAGTAGAGTTGGAAATTCTGTTGGACGACATATTCGACCTCGAGACACAAAAGAAGGTCACTACCAAAGATACCTTACAAGCAGAACTTATTGCAGAAGGAGGAAAGAATCGAGGCAATTACAGAAGCACCATACTGTCCCCCGAGCTCAAAGCGGCAGCTAAAAGCCTTCGTGAGAACAAGGAGATAGTTGTCAGGAGAGGTGACAAGTCGCCAATATATGTCATTCTTAAAAAAGACGAATATCTGGCGAAAATGAACATCATACTCTCTGACCAAACTAAGTTCCAAAGGGTAACGAAGGACACTACAGCCGAATTAAAAGCAAAGGTCAACAAACTGATCGAAACTGTGAACGCCAAGAAATTCGGACTCCACCTGCCAAAGATCATTGGGGAATATAAACCTGGATATGCGTATGGAAATGTCAAGACACACAAGCCTGGAAACCCACTTCGGCCAATCATTAGCCAGATACCCACACCCACGTACAGACTGGCGAAGCGACTCAACGGCCTGCTGACTCCTTATGTTCCTTGCGCCTTCAGCCTGAAGTCTCCAAAGGAATTTGTTGACTTACTGCGGGGCACACGGGCCACAGGGATAAGAGCCTCGTTGGACGTAGAATTGCTGTTTACCAACGTACCTGTGGACGAGACAATCGGGATGATAGCCGACAGAGTGTATCGTGATCCAGCCTGTACTCCTCTTGACATACCAGAAAATATTCTGAGGAAACTACTCCAAGCTTGTACTAAAGAGGCACCCTTCTTGAGCCCGGATGGGCACATGTATAAGCAAGTAGATGGGGTCGCCATGGGTTCTCCCCTAGGTGTCCTGTTTGCAAACTTCTACATGGGTACCATCGAGCAAAAAGTCTTAGTCGACATGAACTTGAAACCGGCCATATACTGCAGGTATGTTGACGACATTTTTACACAGGTACCTGATGTCAGACATCTGCAGGAGCTGAAGGAGGCATTTGAGCAGAGTTCCGTGCTGCGTTTCACTTACGAGATGGAAAAGGATGGGAAGCTGCCCTTTCTAGATGTAACAGTCATGGAAAAGAGCGGAGGTTTCCACACTGCAGTCTACACTAAGGAAACGAACATAGGAATGTGCCTAAATGCCAACAGCGACTGCCCAGACAGGTACAAGAGGAGTGTTGTTAACGCATATGTCGACCGTGCTCTCAGCCACAGCTCAGAATGGAAGCAAGTCGACGAAG